TTCGACGTTTTACGACGATATATCCAAAAACACAAAAGGAACAGCAGTATAGCTCCAAGAAGTGTGGAAGAAACAACCAAAGCTACAAGAATTCTCTTGTTCAAATCTTGGTGATGAACTACTCTAACATCTGCAGCTCCTGTGTGTTAACAAAATGAGTTGGAACAGCACATATATAGCTCCAATGAAGAGATAAGAAAGCGAAAAAAAAAGACATAAAACACTGAAATGGGACAAACAATTGGGGTTTAAAGACATTAGGGACCAGCAAGAACACAAGGAGTTAAAACCTCTTCACTTTATAGCAGCATCTATGTTTCTTGTCCTAGAATTTTTTGACCTTTTCTTCTTGTTACTGTCTTGAAATTGAAAACTCACAAACAATTTCATCCCATACCCCATGAATAACCCCATGAAAACTCACGAACGTTTCGAGTTTCAGACAGAACACAGAGCAAAACTTAAGCCACCAAAAACCCAGCTGAGCAGAACAGAGCAGAACAGAACAGAACATGGAACAGAGAAACAGAGCATGAAATAGACAAAACATGCAACACAGAAACAAAGGCAAGAACAGAAGAGAAGCAGAAACCTGGGGATTGAGCTTCCATTTTGGCCACAATGAGAGGAATGGATTGGAGTCTGGTCCTAGAAATTGAAAACCCAGTGAGCTGTGGTCTGGCATCAATTATTGGGAACAAGGAAGAGGAAACCCACATGGGTAGTAAAATAGTGAGAAGATTCATAGCCCAACCTCCTAATCTCTCTCCCATTTGAACCCTCTTGTGTTCTTCACTCTGTCCACACAACAGACAAAGGACTGCTTCAGCAACCCCAACAAACCACTTTTTCTTTATATTTTTTCCTTTAAGACTTCAAAAAGGTAAAGAAATTTAGAAATAAATTTGTGACAATTTCGGTCAATACTGTCAGATTCCACGTCGGTGGGAGAATAGTTATTAAGTGGGGAAGATGGTGGATTGTGAGATCTCACATGGAAGAACGAAACATTCTATATGATGTCCCACATTGTTTGGGGAGGAGAACAAATCACCATTTACAAGGGTGTGGAAACCTTTCACTAGCTGAAACATTTTAAACCTTTGAGCAGAAGCCCGAAAGAGAAATCCCAAAGAAGACAATATCTGCTAGCGGTGGATCTGGGTCGTTACAATCGGTGAATTGTGTGATCTCTCGTGATGTAACGTTCTTTATAAAAGTGTGAAAACTTCTCCATATTAGACCGAGGAACAAATCATTCCTTTTATAAAAGCGTGGAATGGTCACATATTTCTTAGAATTTTTTTTTATAAAAAAAATAGGTATTTTAAAAATAATTAAGTATAAGGGTATTTTTGTAATTTAGTAGTACGGTGAATTAATTTTACTGCTGTACGGGTCACCCGATGATTTTGAAAATTTAAAAAACATGGTTTAAATTGCTTTGTTTTATATGGAAAGTTGTAATTCGTTTTTAATCAACTTCATCTTTATTTCTTTTTTGTGTAATATTTTTATTATTACAAATTTTTATAAGATTTACTGTTATTTTATATTCCAAAAATAAAAACAAATAAATGTATTTTTCCATCATATTAAAATAATTACTAAAACATACTCTTACTTTTGCAAAAAAGGACTTCTTTTTTACTTAAATTATCATTTTTGCTAAGTGTATGGCTACAAATTAAGAAAAATGATACATAAATAATAATCTAACGATTTTTATTAATGATTTTAAAAATATATTAGACGCCATTGTAAAACTTCAATGATAACTGTTCGAACAAATTCATTATAAGAAGAAGGATAGTTTCCAGCTCGAGAGCGTTCATTAATACTATCGTCTCAAACAGTGTTTTACCCAACTTAAATTAGTAAAAGATCGTACCATTTGAATATTCCACCGAAGCAAAGTGGTTTATGAATAAGATTAATTTAATTTAGGAACTTTTAAAATATTTAATTATTCTTATAATAGGCTTTAATTTAATTTTTTTTAAATATTATTTTAGGGTTATTTTTTAAAATTATTCAGCTGATGAAGAATATGGCCTCAATTATATATTTAAATATTATGGCATAAGTAATGTATATATTAAATTAGATATAGTTTAAGTTAAAATAATTTTTTAAAAGATAACAAATTAAAATAAATAATTCCAAGTGTTTAAAGATGAATTATTTTTTTTATTATTATTTCTTTGTCGAGTATGGGTAGTGAAAAAACAAAAAATAAAATAAATAAAAATAAACGATAATAATAATAATAATAATAATAATAATAATAATAATAAAAGGAAGGAAAAAAAACAACAAGAATCTCAAACTTCCTTCACTGACAGATACGCAGTGGGCTACCTGCTCCCACACAACCTTTTTTGTCTGGTTTTTATTTATTTTTAATTTTCATTTATTTATTATATTATATTTTTTAAAAGTTTCAATTTATTTAATAATTAGAATTTTGAATAATTTGAAATGAAATAATAATAATAATTATTAAAAAAAAACACTTTTTTGGTCATTATTGAAAGAAAACATCCATGTGCTTACATATGTGGGAATCCCTAAGTATTTGCTTGTGTCTACGACCCTTGTTTTAGGGATGTTTTTTTGTTCGGTGAAACATTTCAAACAATTTCGTTTGTTTATGAAATCGTTGATAGTTTGATCCTACAAGAGAACAACTAAGTGGTTCTTGATGTTGGCTTTCTAGTTTGAGAGAATTGGTAGACCTCTCGGGCTAGATACATTTTGTGGAGACAGAAGTTGATGAAGAGGATCAATTAGCTTGTCTTCCTTGTCGTTCTAAGAGTTTTCCTATTGCCACTGTCTTAGTCTAGACTCCGATTTGGAGGTAACATTCTCATTTTTTTATAGTATGGTTTGTTGTGTTAGATAGGCTGTAGATGTGTGATCATATTAGCTACTACTATTTTGATGGCTTTGATGTATATGCTTTTTTTAAAAGAATGACAAATTGAGTCTCGAGACCATTTATTTTTCTCCTTCTTTAACTGAGCTATTTAGGGAGGATATGCTCCCGTAGGGTGAGCATTTCTCCCGCGCATGAAGTTTGACAGGATTCTCTACTTCAGTGCAGACAATCATCTGTATTATAAGGTATAACAAATGATTTGGTCTGCTATTACCCACCATCTTTGGCAGGAGTGTAACTTTCATGTCCATAATGCTGCCTTGCTCCCTTCCCAAGTGATTTGTTGGGTCGTTCAGACTATTATCTATTGTTTGTTCGAGTTATGTTGTTAGGGTTCTTTCGAGTGAGTTTAGTTATTTACTTTTGTCATTAACTCATACCTGTTGTGATCGTGGTTTGTTTACGGGCGAGGCCTTTTTTTTTTTTTTTTTTTTTTTAATTTTGAAAAAAAAATAATAATTTGAAGAGGTTATTTGATGAATGAATAAATGGGCCCAACTTTATATTTTGTTAGTCATAATTAAATTCATAATTCAATTGGAAAAAGATATACATGTAATTATTAAATGGCTGGGAGAAATGAATTGCAATAAATGTACAGAAATTCTTTTTATTTTTTATTTTTTTATTTTTTATTATTCATTTGACAATTAAATCCCCTTATTTATTACTTCAAATCTAAATAATTCCAATAATAATGATAAGAATATTATTATTATTATTATTATTATTATTTAATGGACAAAATCTTTTCAACTAAAACTCTGACTCCAAAATTAACCTTTATTCAAATAAATAAATAAATAAAATATATATATTAAATGGTAGTAAAAAAGGAATCTAGCCAAATAAAGTACAATAATTGACATCAAAAGGACCCCACCGCTAGTCGGAGTGCGATTAAGTTCGAGAAACTTACATTTATATTTTTAGATTAAAGATTTAAATTCTAAATAAAAAATTATTCGAAAGTCAAATGTTTAAATTTTTCAACTGCATATTTCAGGTGGACACCTAGGTGAAATAAAATTAGGAGTGCTTGCTTGTACTCGTCGATAGATGAACTTGTAAACTAGACCGGATTTCCAAGATCAAGATCGAGACATGAAAGGCTTCTTAGGGGATATAATATTGAATTATGGTTTCGTAATACAAGATGGATCACTATAGGTTGGTTGAGATTGTGATTGCAAAAGGAAAGGGTGATGACTCGAAATGGGCCTAATTAAGTATTGATAGCCATTTTGCTAGACTTTCTGACCGTGTTGACATGTACCTTGATTGCTGTTTGGAATGAGTAGTGTCACAATTGCACTTTTCTTTGCAGTAGAATTTTATGATTGTGCAGCACTCACTCCCAACACTGAGTGAGTCAAGCCAATTTGGGATCGAGTTGCCTATTGTAAGGCAACGTATGCTCAAGCCTCTGGCCTCGTTTTGAGAAGAAGGCTTTAGAAAACATGGGCAGAGAGATTTTTGAAAGATTAAAAGTAACGTTATATGACTACAAGTAAAAGGCAACACGACGACTTAAATAATATATAACTTCCTGGGTAGGGAGAATTTGATAACTAGTCACGTTCCTTTACAGTACATTTTGAGGTAATTCAAATCTAATAGATCTAGACGTGATTTCATCGAACGACCATTCAAAATCTAGATGGAAGGAGTTAACTACTAGCCGTGTCCCTTTTGTTGCTTTGGGTTTGGTTAAACATCTCAGTTTATCTCAAAATATCTCTGTATTCCATTTTTATTAGTCTATTTTTGTACAAGGTGTTTCATTAGTGCTTCTTTACTATTAGTGGAAATATACCAAACCAGTTGGGGAAAAGACATTTCTTATATTAGTAATGAGTATTAACTTGATTAACTATGAGTATTAACTTGATTAACTATGAGTATTAACTTCATCAACTATGAGTATCATTTGTGTGCAATACATCATCATGTTCATCCTCTTCATTTCAATGGCTACAGAAGAACGCAAGTGATATTTCAAACTTTTGTTGGCCATTTGATCTCAATGGATCTTCCTCTGTTTGCATTTATCCAGTAATTACAGTGTTCATAATCAACCTCTTTTATATAATCAGATGCAGAAGCCTGTGAATACATAATATAACTAAACAGCTAAAGGGGTTTCGAGGTCTCTACACGGTTCCGTTCTCGATCTTTTTCGGGTACTATAAAAAGGGGAAAAAAAGATGTTATATGAATATGAAGCTGAGAAAATTGGTTTTGTAATTACAGTTACAAGTAACTCGAGCCTATGACAGGGTTAGAATTTAGGAACTACATCGTTGTTGTTGTTGTCGTTGTCGATCTTTGTCCCTTTCGGTTAAGGTAGCTTAACATTTGTTCGTTTCGGTTGAATGTTCCTAGCTCATTCGGTACAAGGCCTCGGCGCCAGAATCATCCTGAAAAGGCAAATTAAGATCGGGTAATAAACGAACAGTCCCTAAAGTTCCCATCTCCTGCAGTTTGCAAGAAACGTTTGGCAGTGTTAATTGGTAAGAAGCATCGACGCCGTTGCAACCGAATGCAGCGACTCCGATGGGTGTAGTGTTGCATATAGATCTCGGTAGCTTCTGCAGTTGCGATTGGTCGGAATTTTCCTCGTCTGGAACGGTCGACCCTTGCTGTAATTCGAGTTCAAGCTGTAGAATTTCAAAAAGAACAACTTAGCTTCTGCAACACATTATGAGCCTATTCTCTACTTATCAGAACAGCATTCTAGTTATTAAGATCGGTTAAGCTTTCAATGTAAAATGATGTCATAAGTTTTCTCGCTCTCAGCTCGAGCGAGACCTTTCGACGCTACAAAGTTCATCGGTTGCCAAAACCGCACTGAATCAGAACAACTTTCTTTGGCTTCTCTTCTTGCTCGTTATCTTAGAATCAACCTCGAGCTTTGTTACGATGAACAACATCTTTTCCAAAACTAAATTCGTGAGATCTGAAGCCTTCTTTATAAAGGTGCGAAAACCTCTCCCTAACAGACACGTTTTAAAACCCTGAGGGGAAGCCTAGAAAGGACAAACCCACCGCTAGGAGATATTGTCTTATTTGGGATTACCATTTCGAGTTTTCCCTCAAGGTTTTTAAAACGCGTCTGATAGGGAGAGGTTGGGGAGATTTCCACACCCTTATAAAGAATGTTTCATTTTCCTCTCCAACCGATGCGGGATCTCACAATCCACCCCCCTTCGAGCCCCAACATCCTCGCTGGCACTCGCCTTCTCCAATCAATGTGGGACCCCCCAATCCATCCCCTTCGGACCCCAACATCCTCACTAGTACACCGCCTCATGTCCACCACCTTTCACGGCTCAACCTCCTTGTTGGCACACCGCCTTGTGTCCACCCCTCTTCATGACTCAACCTTCTCGCTGACACATCGCCCAGTGTCTGACTCTGATCCCATTTGTAACAGCCCAAGCCCAAGCCCAAGCTCACCGCTAGCAGATATTATCCTCTTTCGACTTTCTCTTTAGGACTTCCTCTCAAGGTTTTTAAAACGCGTCTTCTAGGGAGAGGTTTCTACACCCTTATAAAGAACGCTTCGTTCCCGTTCCCCTCTCCAACCAGTGAATCGAATCTCTCTACTTGATGCAAACATCAGCAGAAAAGGACATAATAAAAAGGGCAAAAGCAAGAGAAAAAACAGCAGCTTTTCAGACATAATTTGCAGCAGATAAAAGAAGTAAATGCAAGTTTCCCAATAGCATTCAATAAAGAGAGAAACCCTTGAACGACCGAGTTAAGAACACATATTCAAAGCAACAACACCCCAACACGAAGATTCACCTTCATTTTCTTCAAGCTTCCATTAATATCCCTCTGTTTTTCCACAGTGACCCGCAAGGTAGCCAAGGCCTGTGCTTAAAAAAAGGAAACAACTTAAGCAAGAAGACCACGAAGATGAACAAGTTTCATGTTCATACAACAAAAACATACATCTTTCAAGCTTCTCCTTTCCTTTAATAGCAGAGCCTCCTCCTCTTTAAGCTCTCCCAGTGTCTGCTATCCACCATATGAATGTTATATGGCCCATGAAGCTCCCAAAAAGGAAGGAATAAAACAAAGAAAGAAAGAATAAAAATGGTACCTTTTTCTTTCTTGGCCTCTTCATTGTTCCAACTACTTCACTCTTACAACCAATCTGCACACCATTCATAACCCACCCATCGCTTAGTTTTCCAACAATTATAATCCTAATTACTAATCATATCCACCAATTCAACCCAATCAAGAACAAACCCTCGTTAGGGATTGATTTCCATATCCTTATAACGAATGCTTTGTTCCCCTCTCCAACCAAGGTGGGATCTCACAATCCACCCCTTGGGGCCAGCGTCCTTACTGACACACGGCTCAGTGTTTGGCTCTAATACCATTTGTAACAGCACTAGCGTACAACTAGTAGATATTGTCAACTTTGACCTGGTTGTCAGCTTTATGGTTTTAATTCTAAAAATCGACATGGGATGTCATAGATGCCATTTCCCCCACACCCAACGCACACGAAGTAAACCAAGCGGCTATCGGCCAGAATCAACCACTGAGTGACAAAACCAGACAAGGGTGGTTCACCAAAACCGAGCAGTGTGGTCTCAAAGAACATTGTTGTACAATTTTCCGGACACAGATTTATGTTTCATAAGAGCGGGGAAAAGTTTAGGATCACAGGCTGTCTCATGGGAATCTGTTTTCTCTAAGCCATTAAAAAGCAGAGGTTTTGTCTGATTAGGGGAAAGGAAGGGTAGAGATGAAGCAAATCTAGGAAGGTAAAGGTGCAACTGACCGCACTGAATCATTTATTGGGGTATAATTTTCATAAGCCAACACATAAAAAAGGGCACAACCACCAACACCATTTTGCACACAGACTTCGTTGCCACGGAAACACGCCACCGATAAAGAGGGGCCCTTTCGGCTTTCGAGGTGAAATGACGAAAATGACCCTTGTGGTGGAGTCTAGGGTTTGACTATTATTTTGGAGGATAATCCATATTCCAGGTGGAGTTATTGGGGCCAATGCTAATGGGGGGTTTGACTCTTTACACTGGTTTTGTGTACTCGTTAAATTACCAAAATGCCCCTTTTAGACTACCACCCACTCTCTTTTGGACCCATTTGCTGCTTCCAACAAAGGTCATCCATTTGGAGAAACGGGGAAATGGGTCGTCTCATTACATCATTGTCCGAAATGGGTATTAGGGCAAATTTTAAAAAGTGGCCGGAAAATTAGCCGATTCCGGCGGTGGAAAAGAGGGGTAGATCCGTAATTTTAAAAAGGGGAATAATAAGAAGTATGAAGAAAGAGTGGAGTGGGGGCAAAAATCTGACAAGTCGCCGACGGAAGAAAGAAAAAAGAAATGTGAGAAACGTAGGGGCACTTTCGTCATTTCCCATGTACTCACTGAGTTTTCAGAAAAAGAGAAGAAGAAGAAGAAGAAGAAAAAGAAGAACATCAAACAAAACAAAAACCGAAACGAACAGAACCTTAGATCTTGCGGCGTCGGATGCGTCGACGAATCCGCCGCTGATGGAGGTAGCGCCACCACAACCACCACCGCCACCGCCGCTGCTCCAAGTGAGAGGAGTGGTGGGACTAGCTCTTGCGGCGGCATCAGAGTTCTTTCCAGCAGAATCGGAGGCATGGCGAGTAAGAATGGACTTGGAACGAGGCTGACGGACAGACCAGTCAAGGCGGAGAGGGGGAAAGAGAGGATTGAGAGGGGGAGGGCGGTTGAGACGAAGAAGTAAGTCGACGACAAGAGAGTCATCGGAGAGGGCAACGTTGACCCATTCCTCGTCGGACATGGTGGAAATAGCGGCGGAGATGAAGAGAGAGAGAGAGAGAGAGAGAGAGGGTTGGTGGCGGAAGAAGAAGAAGTAGGAAAAAAGTGGGTAAAGGGGATAGAGGGAGGTTTATATAAGATAGATGGGGCCATGTTTGGGAGTAGATGCTCTCGCCTCCCCTTCATTACTTCTCCTCATCTACTCTCCTTCCAAAACGTGCCAATCACTCCACTCTTACCCCCTCCATCCTTAAAAAAACATATTATATATTTTAATTATCATTAATTTCCTTTTTTTTTTTATATTAATACTAAAAATAGAATTTAAATCAAATATATTATATATATATATATATATATATATATATATATATATGGCAGCGGTGAAGGGGGCATATAAATGTGCCGGGTGGTATGGGTGTTATGAGTTCGTCACGTACGGAGCGCGTGACTTCAATCTTTTTCACACGTGCGACTGACCCCTGCCCTTCACTTTTGTCTTAATTTCCTATCCTACCCTTGCTTCAATCCTACGGCTGCTTCCACTCCTCTCGAATGTGAATTTAATTGCAATAATTATTTTCCTTTTTAAATTTGGGGTTTTTCATCTAATTCCTAATTATTAGGGTTTTTTATTTTATTTCTCGAGTGCGCGTAAATGATATTAATGAGGAATATCAATAATTATTCGTCCATTTTCCATTTATACTAAAATCATTCTGCTTTCTATTTATCGAATTTTATTTATTTAAAACATATCCAATTTCAAAACCATTTAGAAAATCAATAATTAATGAGTAATTCTAATTTTAATTTAAAATTTAAAGTTGTTATAAAAATAATTTTAGCTATTTTAAAAAACATTTTTCATTTCCAACAGATAAATTTGAATGGACTATCAATAATAAGCATACAAATCATTATCACAATCCATGATTTTGTAGTGAAGGAAAAATCACTATACATACCGTCAATTCAAGGTGAGATTTAGAGAATTTGTTGAGATCCGATATTCAAATCTCCTCTTCGGTTGATGTTGAATTGCTCTAATGAAAGATCAGACATTCGAATCTCTCTTTCAATTGCTATTGTTGTTGGGCTTGAAAGATAAAATGAACGCGGGAAGGAAGTAATCAACTTACCCAATACGACTCTAAGAGAGGACTTGAGATATGGCAGTCGAGATTAAAGATTTGAATGATGAAGGAGAACTTATAGCAAGAAGGAAGTAATAAACTCCCACCACTATTCTAAGAGAGGACTTGAGCTATGACACTCGAGAGAACTTATAGCGGTAAGGAAGTAATAAACTGACCCAAGACTATTCTAAGAGAGGACTTGAGCTATGGCAGTTGAGATTAGAGATTCGAATGATGGACGAGGATTTACAGCGGGAAGGAAGTAATAAACTTACCCAAGACTACTCTAAGAGAGGACTCGAGCTATGGCACTGGATATTAGAGATTTGAATGATGAACAATAGAACTTATAGCGGTAAGGAAGTAACCAAGAATATTCTAAGAGAGGACTTGACCTATGGCAGTCGAGATTAGAGACTTGAATGATGATGAACAAGAACTTATAGCAGAAAGTAATAAACTCCCAACACTATTCTAAGAGAGGACTTGAGCTATGGCACTCGAGATTAGAGATTTGAATGATGATGAACAAGAGCTTATAGCGGGAAGGAAGTAATAAACTTAGAGAGGACTTGAGCTACGACACTCGAGATTTGAATGATTTGAATGACCAACCACGGTTGAACTCGAAAGAAAAAACGAACGGGAACTTGAGCTAGAGCAGGAAGTAATAAAGCTTACAGAGACAATTCTACGAGAGGCCCTTTAGATCCAACGAAAACCCATCAGCGTGGACCAGACATCCATGGCGCAAGAAAAGGCTCCTTTGATTAGCAGTAGGAAAGATAAAATTGGGAGGAATTATCTCCCTCAGAGATCGCCTCGAGAAAACCATCCATGGAATAACACTGCAATCAATTTCACAGCAATCCCACAAGCTAATTTCCCTCAATCCTCTGCAATTTCGCACCACCTCCTTCACCCCTTCTGCCGTCACTTTCAAGCATCCCAACAAATCCAAATGGATCAGAGAAGGGCATCTGCTTCCAATCATTGCTAATGTTGAATCATCAATAGCTAATCTCTGTAATTTCAGTGCCTCCATTGATGGAAGTTCACAGTTCATCACCAAATTCTTGATTCCCGTACAATAATTCACTTCCAAATGCCTAATCTTGGGGCACGCCGTTAAGACATCTCCAATGCCTTCATCGGTGATTGCTGCACAGTGGTTCAGTTTCAACAGCTCCAAATTTGGAAAAATGGAAGCAATTTTTCTCGCACCATCATTGCACAAATTCTTGTTCCCAGATAGATCCAGAGATATAAGTTTAGGGTTGACAAAATCTGTTGGGTGGCCTTCTTCTTTCTGGAGATTTACAATCTTCATTTCTATATCAGTTAAAGCAGGGCAGTTTCTTGCCAGGATGAACAAGGATGAACATGACAGATTTGAGCAATTGCTGAGGTTTATCAATTTCACTAGCGGGAGAAATTCTGATAACTCTTTCACAGATTCATCAGTCAAGAAATTGGCGGCTTCAAGATCCAACCATTCAATCAGAGGATTTTTATTCAATAGAAACGAAATTCCAGAAAACGAGAAGTCATGGCAATGGGAAAGGACGAGTTTCTTTAATGGCGAACATGAATTTGCTAATGAATTCAGCAACTGATCCGAAATAATTGACTCCGAAAGGTCAATAGAATTTAGATTTTTCATAGAAAGAAACGAATCGATAAGATCTGAATTTAGAGAGGGAATCCCTATCCAATTTGCGGAGAGTGAACTCAAATTAGGGTTCTGGCGCAGGGCCTTGGCAATACCTGATTGAGTGATCAAATCGCAATCACAAATTGCTATTTCCCTAAGCCATACACATTTCGTTGATAAATCTATAAGCGACTTATCAGTAACGAGAGAATTTCCTGAGAGATTTGCCTTGCGAAGTCGCGGCAGGCCCTGAATCAAAGCGAAAATCCCCGAATCCGTAATATCACTATAACAACTGGGAGCGAGAGGATTCATAGGATAGCTAATATCGAGATCTTCAAGATTCGGAAACAACTTAGCGATTTCAACCAGATCGTCGTCAGTCAGAACCCCAAGCTTCGAGCATAGCAAAACCCTCAAATTCCGCATTGTCGAGCCAAGGAAGTTCATACCAGAAACCGGAAATCTCGCCTGATTAGAGATATCGAGCGATTCAATATCCAATCCAGATCCCGCAATCCTAATGAGAAGGTCATCAGGTACGCCCTTGAAATTTCTAAGATCAATCCGTTTGAGTTGCCGGAATCTGGAGAATATCCGGGACATCGCCGGAATAGTTAATTCGGAGATTCTGAGGGTAGTGCGAAGCGTGTTGGTGATGGATAAGAATTGTTTGCAGACCAGAGATAGGGATTCGAAATGGTGGCTGTGACGGCGTTGGAGGAGGAAACTGAAGATCATTTCCCAGCATTCTTCCGGCAAATATGGGAAATTCTCTTCCATGTTCACCTTTTCCTTCACGATTCCTTCAAATTGGAAGAACAATTTCGAGAGCAAATCAGCGAAGAAATATATAATGGATCATTCTTCCAAGAAATAGAAACCACCGGGGTTTGAGGGCACCACCGTTAATCCCACGATCTTCCTTTTATATCCCTCCGATCAAATCATTTTAAATTTTAAATTTTCATAATTAAATTTTAAAATGTTTTTTTTAGCCAAAGATGGGGCCGCTAGTTGTCTGTTGGGTCAATTTGGGCCTAAAACCAGTCATGTCGGCCCATTTCAATTTGTTGTTAGTAGCCCGCATGTCATTTTCTTTTATTTTCAATTCGATATTTTACCAAATATAAAAAATATAAATATAAATAAAACAACATCACTTTATTTATTAATATATTTTTAAAGGGTATGTTTGGAACATTTTTTATAATTCGAAATTATTTTAAAAATAAAATATTAACAATTTTTGTGTAAGAATATTTATGAGATTTTTAAATGAAGAAAAGGAAATTAATGAATATTAAAAAATAATAATAAATAAAAAGAGAGAGGGAATTATGGGGATAAAATCAAATCAAATGTCAATTCTAGCCCTAGGCTGCTTAGAGGAATGAAAATGAAGCTAGTTATCCATGCATGGATTCTGCTGTCCCTTTTTTATCCCTTTCTTTTCACATCCCTCATTATCCCATTAAATTTTATTAATTAATTCATTTTAAAACCTTATTTAATATTTTATAAATTATATATATAAAAGGGTTAAGGAAGCGTACAAGAAATAGAGATGGGGGATGAGTGAAACCCTAATTTTATGAGACACTGACTTTGAAATGATTTCTATTGGATTTCCAACAAAACTCCACGTTGCTTCAACTTTCAAACTTCTATTAATTTTTTTCCCTTTTAATGTAATTACTTTTTAACATTAAAATTCAAAAAAATTAAATAAAAAAACAAGAATGAGGTCCTACCGGGAGTCGAACCCAGGTCACTGGATTCAAAGTCCAGAGTGCTAACCACTACACCATAGAACCACTTGTTCCTTTAGTTTTTTGCCTGGTATCAAATTTTATGTTAAAATTCAAAGTCCACAGTGCTCACCCACTACACCATAGAACAGAGATGAGAAGAGAGGTTGTAATACTTAGAGTTCGACTCAAGTCACTGGATTCAAAGTCTAGACCATAAAACCAATTTAGCACCTATCAAGAGTCAGACACGAGTCGAACTCAAGTCACTGATTCAAAATTCAAAGTGCCAACCACTACACCATAGAATCACTTGTTCATTTGAATTTTTGTATGTTAGTCTATCATTTATATCAATTGAGACATGCTCGACAAATTAATATTAACTTTATAACAGAACAAATGAGGATAAAATAAAGAGAGAGGTCAGAGAGTAAACCAACAAACCCACTTAAAGAGACCGACCTAGATTTAGCATAGTATTAACTTTATAGATCAAGTAAGGCAGAATAAGGCGAGGGTCCTAACTAGAGTCCACTCAGGTTACTAGGCTAACCACTGCACCATAGAACCATTTGTTTCATTTAAATTTTTACGTGATAACCATGTTTTATATCTATTGATATATGCTCCACAAATTAATATTAAATTTTA